TCAGAGCATGGCCTTAAACATGAAGACCTATTAAACACCAACATTCAAGGATATAGGTACACTACAAACTAACTTCTGTAGAACGGCACATATGTGGGGAGGTATAGCTCTATACAAGAAAGCGAGTCTAAAAACTGTAATAGAAGAACTAACACTACATGTACCATATCATCCTACAGAACTTGATTTTGAAACAATTGCAGTTAAAATAAAAATTAAAAAACAAAATATAATACTAATTGGAACCTACAGATCACCAAGCCCCAATACAGAAGACACATTTCTTGAAAAATTAGGCCATCTAGCCTACTCAAACGTCAAAACACAGCATCAAATAAAATAATTATCCTTGGCGATACAAATTTCAACATCCTAAAACCAGAAGACCGAAGCATAATAAACCTAGAGAACCTACTAACCCAACATGGATGCCATATCAGACAAATACCGGTTACTCGCAAAACCCCCACCACAGTCACAAGCATAGATGGATGCTACACTAATATAAAAATAAATGATCTAGAAGTACAAGCACTTGAAAATACCATCTCCGACCACCACTATCTCTTATGTACAATCAACAATAAACCTATCCACCAAAAATTTATCTACAAAAATGCAAGAAACTTCTCAAAGGAAAACCTTGATCATCTCAAAATGCAACTAAAAACAACTGATTGGACCAATGTATATAAACCAACCTCAGTAGAAGCGAAATATGCAAATTTTATTGACATCATAACTTCAAAAATTAATTAAACAATGCCAAAAGTTCAAAAACGACACACAATCTCAAGTAAAAGGATATTCTGGGACGATGAAACACCAAGCCTAAGAGCAAATCTTCAAGAGGCGCAACAGAAATACAACCTAACAGGAAAAGTTGAAGATAAAAAAAACTTACTTGGAAATAAAACAAACTTATGACAGGGACATACAAACGAAACGCTCAAAACACACAGCAGACAAAATAAAGGAAGCCAGGGACAAAAATAAAGAAATCTGGAAGGTAATCAATGATGAGAGAAACGCACATAGCAATTAGATAACATAAGCCTCTTACATAACGAAAAATCAATAACTAACACATATCATATCAGCAACATATTCAACAAAATATTCCTACACTCAGACCTACCCGTAATAGAACTTATGGAGGAAAGCAACTGCAAGAAACACCATATTCCAACCTTGACAGCATTTGAACCCATAACCAGGCAAGAACTCGAAGATTTGTTTAAACGCCTTAAACCCAAAAAACTCATCGGGATTTGATGAAATTACAGGAAAAATGGTTACTTACTGACGATGCCTGAATAGGCGAAACATGTTGTGAGTTTATTCACTACAAAATTGAACTGTTGACGTAAAGGTATGTACCTGATCATATTAGTCTAATAAACAGTTCAGGGGCTAAATCATGAATTTTAAGGTTACTTACTGCCAAGAAGAACTAATAGAACCCATTCACCACATCATAAACTCATCATTGCAAAAATCAATTATACCCAGTAAACTAAAAATAGCCAAAATCTTCCCTAAACACAAAAAAGGCAGCAAACAAGATCCATCTAACTACAGACCCATCTCCAATCTCCCCACCATCTCCAAGCTACATGAACGTGCAATCTACAATCAACTCATTGAACATTTTGAAAAAAACAATATACTAACACCATTTCAACACGGATTCAGAAAGGGGCGTACCACAACAACAGCTATATCACAACTCTGCGAGGATATAACCAACATCTGGGAGGGAAAAGAGTGTGCATCAGGCATCTTTTTAGACTTACAAAAAGCATTTGACACAATCAACTGGAATACATTGCTACTAAAACTTCAGCAATACAATATCAAAGACAAAGCGCTTGATTTGATAAAAAGTTATCTCAGCAATAGACAACAATATGTAGAATTGGAACAACAGATTAATAACAACTTAATCAACACAAAATCTTCATTAAGAACAACCACCAGAGGCGCCTCAAGGATCAATTTTAGGCCCACTATTTTTTACAGTATATATAAATAACCTCCCGGAAGAAATTGGACAAGAAATTGGACAACAACTCAGATACATTCTCTTCGCAGATGACACGACAATCATACTTCCCATTGACCGAACAACAGATAACACCGATATCATCAATGAAACTCTTAATAAGGCCACCGCATACTGCAACACAATAAACCTGAGTATAAATAAAAACAAGACGACCCACATAAAATTCACACTCAACAACAACAACAGATTAGAAGAGGACTGGACCAATCTGAACATTGCAACGACCAACTCCACAAAATTCCTTGGCATAATTGTCGATATACACCTCAACTGGGAAGATCACATAAAATACCTATAAAAAAAACTGTCAACTGCAAGGCATGTGATAAAAAGAATCCGCACACTCACGAATGAAGACGTAGGTAGCTATAATGGCCTACCATTCGCTTTTTCATTCCCACATAAAATATGGTATCACAGCCTGGGGATCAGCAAGCACTAGTAACATTGAAAAGATCTTAACCATACAAAAGAGTACAATCCGGGCAATCCTGAGACTCCACTACCTAGAACACTGCAAACCCCTCTTCATCAAACTCAAAATCCTAACAATAACCTCCCAGTATATATTTGACACAATACTCCTAGCCAAAAAATCATCCCTCACCCCATGATCAGACATACACACCTACAACACCCGAAACAAACACAACATTAACACAAAGCAACACCGACTACAAAAAACCAGCAATACACCCATCAACTCAGGTACATATTATTATAATTTATTACCAGAACATATAAAATCAACAACCACAATCAACAGCTTCACAAAAAAACTCAATGAATACTTAATAAACAGGCCATATTAAAAAACCACAGATTACATAGAACAGCACACATACCAACACCTCAAATGAACAACTTCTTCAAGACCCCTCCAAGAGGGAAGAAATCTGACGACTCCCCGATCCGAAGATTGTGGCGAGGACTACGTGGTAAATGGTAAATGGTAAGAATCAAAAAGTGACCTCTCATTCTAACTTACTAGGGAAGACTAAATTCATAACACCTGCATGACAGAACATAGAGGTTTTAGAACATAAAATGAAAATTGCATCGCGGTATAAATGAAAATTGTACAGTAAATAAATTAGATATAAATTTCAAGGTGTTGGTTTAATAAGGTAACTTACATGATAAAATATATTTAAAATAAAGCTCATAACTGAAGGGCACGCCAGGTAACTTATAAATGAAGTAAATTATTATTCCTGCAGTCCCTGCAAGTGGAGGCATAGAAGTAGGCCTCTATTAATTAATTCTAATAGAAACTAGCTTGAAATGTATTTTTAATTGTAATATAGCCACCATGAAGTACCTATTTCGGTTTGGGAAACTTAATTTTGAAACTTGAAGCAATCACGCATGTCACTTCATCCATTAAAATACTTGACTCGAAAAAGCCCGAAGCTGCCACGTTTTTTGTTAACTAGACTTGACTCATAAATCTATTACTCATCTTTGACTACTGAATTCATAGGCCCTAATTCTACTGAACGAGATTGCCCTAATAGCTTACACCTTGCACGTAAACTTATATATTTTTATTGCCAAGGCCAAGGATGATAGCGGTTAGCATTGGCTAAAAGAGACCTTTGCATTAAGGCTAATTTGTTTACATATGCTATAGGGCTATTATATTTAATTATTAATATATACAAATTGCCTAAGGCCAGGCACACACAGGCAACTTTGAGTTTAGCAACAGTTGCCCAACTAATTGGGGGACTGTTGCGCAACCCACTCGGAGACTCTGAAGTCTAGCGACAGCTGAGCTGGAGTGCGCACACAGACAAGTTTTAGTCGTGAAACAAGTATTCAACTACAGGCACTGTCGAGCACGAAGAATGGTGGAATGTACTTTCCGAATTTAAGCTAGTAAATGGCGCATTTTCTTTTGACCTATCGATGAAGGAGTTGAATTCAGTGACTCAATAGTAAAAGTTTGCTGTGTACTTCACAATCTGCTGTTTGATTTTATCCTCTTGTGTAGGGTTGTTCCAATCTTTAGTAACTGCCAAGGACACTTCATCCCTCAACATCTTCTTCAAATTAAAATCCGAATAGTCTTTCAATGACTGTAAATATAAAGGCGGCCTCTCAACTTCATCAATTAATTGTTTGACATCCTCATCACGGACACTCATATTTAAGTACCCTAACTTTCAAAAAACTTCAAACAACAAAAAGAGAGCAAACACTAGAGACAGTTCTGGCCAAGAGTAGCTGAATTCATGGGGGGAGACTGAGCGACACAGCGACAATATATCGCATGTGTGTGCGTCTAACACTTGTTTCAATGGATACGAAACCTGGAGCGGGTACAGTTTCTTAACTGAGCTATGCTAATATCAATTGAAACTATCAATCCGATTAGTAAACCTTCAGCATTGTTTACAATTATCAGCAAGTTGTTTGGTTAGTTAGGTTAGGTTTGACAGTTTCATTTTATAATAGATATATTTAAAAATATATATTATTAATCAATATTTTCAATTCGAATGTTTCAATCGATATTAGCATAGCTCAGTTAAGGTACTGTACCAACTGGAGCGACAGTCCCGCGACAATTGAGTCGCAGAGCTGTCTCTGGCAAATTGGGTCCGGGATCATCGGTTGCAACAGTTGCGCGACTGTCCCTAGACTGTTTCCTTGGTGTGCACACTCCAATTTAAAACAATGGTGAACATTTTAGTCGTTCAACTGTTGCTAGACTCAAAATCGCCTTTTGAGCCTGGGATAATTTTGGTCCTAATTTCAGTTGATTGAAATAACCTATTAACAATAATTGTAAATAACTAGAATAAACAGTGAACAGTAAACAGTCTATGTTGAAGTGTATAGGGATACATTTCAAACAACTTCACCTAGTTAAAACTGTTGATTCCAAATTATTACTCCAGTTAAATAATTATAAAAGTGTACTAACCTCTGTCACGTAGGCATAATATCCGTATATTGCTTTTCCATTAGCTTACGTATGTCTTCAATAATATTTTAGTAGTACAGTATTGAAATGTATTTATTTAATAATAAATATACTTTAACTTTACTTTTAATAACGACTGAGAGTGAATTGAATTTTAATTTTAGTGACAAGGACGAGAGTGAGAGTGGTGGTGGAGTCTGACAGTGACAGAACGACAGAACAACACAAACAAACATACAGACAGAAAGAGAAGAAGTGACGATGATTTGCTCTAGTCAGTACGCTTTTAAAGCATTCCTTCATGCAGCTTTGAAAAATTGTGTTGACTGTTGAGGGAGAATTTGTTTGTTTGTAAACTATTATTTATAATATGTTATGAATAATAGGCTTAAGATAGTTAACGATCACGGCCACCTTTTGGTGTAGTTATGCATTTTATGACATTTGTAGTCGATGACTGAAATAATCAAGGGGTTAAATGGACTAGTCCATAGAGGGACACAGTGGACGTTACGTTTAGAGTAATTGAAAAAAACTGTTGAATCTTGAATGGTTAGTAAATGGTTATTATACTGTCTCAACTAAACTTATGTTATTTGTGAAAAGAACTGATAGTATATTGCCAATCTCTTGATAGATTATACAGGGACGCAATGAAAGCACACCAATTCATACAATAATACGTGTTGGTTAGTCTATGATAATACTCAATACTGACTCAATAGTATTTATTCTATTTACATATAAATAGCAAAACAAATAATGGCATTTTAGAGTGAAAATTTAAAAACGTACGTTTTCAGGAAAAGCACTTTGAAAATTTTTTTCCCCTTTTTTCAAAACTTTTATTATTATTTTTATTTCATTAACATTTGAAGTTTCATAAAATGTCCATGGTAACGCAATATCTTTGGTATTTTTTAAAAAAAAGAGCATCTTTAGTGGAGAAACACAAAATCCTGTCACGACCATAACAGACGTTTAAATGAATATTAAAAATAGTTAATATTATTTTTATAACTATGTTTTGCTATAAACTAATTTACTTTTATGACCATTATACAATAAAAAGGTCACTGAGCTTTTGGTATATTTGGTCTTTCTAGAAAAAAATAAATAAACTCAAAAAATTGAAAAAAAGCCAATAAAATCTTTTTAAATTTGTATAACTCCAAAAAAACTTACCTGAGACCCGAAAAATCGTTATGTTTGTATAGAGCTGTGCTTCTTTTGGGTATAAAACATTGAAATATGACGATATTTTAATTTTTTAAATTTTTATGATAGAAATCATAAACGTGATGGTCAGGGACAAGCGGTACGGTCGTGAAATTTCTGAAATAATCTAAATCTTTCTAAACAATCCTTCAATTATACTGTTGGTTATAATAAAAATAAGTGTTTCAATTGAACCAAACTGTTCAAATTACAATTATATTAAAGTTATTGTCACGACCAAACACACTATAATCCATAAGGCTGGATTGGTCGTGAAAAAACCCGCGATGGTCGTGAACCTTTGGTCGTGAAATTACGTGCTATTTGGCTCTGTTCTGGCGGTAGCCCTGCACCTCATGTTCGAGGATACAAAGTGAACTTCTAGGTTAATCTAGCAATTGAAATATCTTATAAACAAAAATTAACACCATGTCTACTTCATCGAATGACTACGTACGGTCATGGACACACCAAAATTACAAAAAACACAATCTTTCCTTTATTAATCTTGTAATTCCTCCTTTCAACTCGAAACGACCGGCACTACAATCCTGACGTACACCCCGAACTAGTCTCTAAAACCAACTGACTCCATCGACGCCAGGCTTGCCACTGTCGTGCTCCAAAGTTGAAAATTTTTCCCAAATGGTCGTGACGCCAAATCGAGGGACAGACTTATTTTGTCATGGTAGTCAGTTTGCAATGACAATAAAATTATAATATGCTCCTTTTTTGTAAGTTTAATAACCATTGATGACCTAAAAATATGGCTTTATATATTTCGGCATGAATAATTAGTCTAAAAACAGCGTGAAAGTTGGAAAATGTACCCTGGGGACACGTCATGGTCGTGAATTTCGAGACTTTAAAAATACGAAAAAATACCTAGAACCTATTTAAAACCAAATAAATGTGTGTAACATGTTGCCCCCGTCCCAAAAAATATTAAAACACATAATAATAAACTACAAATCCAGTATCTACGAAGTAAAAGGCCAGGGACATGAAAACGTACGTTTTTAAATTTTCACTCTTTAACTTTATTAAGTAATTTTTCCAATTCTTGAAATATATATATTCGTCCTTCAAGTGACATCTATTTTCCAAATAGACACTCTTTTTAGTCGCTTGAAAATTCCATTGAATACTCAGTAAAAGTGTTGAGAATGAGATGATAAAAGTAATTTTAAAATAATTATAGCATGAGTTATTTCCTTCTGTACATGGTCAATGGAAATAAACTATTCTTATTCTAATTTATTTATTTATTTATTTCCCAACGACATAGCCACTTTACAATGCACAATCTAAATTATGCATATTATTCAGAAAGTAAATAAAAGAAACGTGTCTTATAACACTTAAAACATATATTTACCGTCTTGTGAGTAACAGTAAGCGTAAATATATGTTTTAAGTGTTATAAGACGTTTATTTTATTTACTTTCTGTAAATTTAATAACACGTACAATGCTGATCAAGAAGTTATATTATTCAGCTTATGTAGCTTACATTCACAGCGTGTTACTTGTATGTAATTGCCGCAAACTACAATTATTAAATTTTATTAGTAACGTTTTTTTAGCCGTTAATGGTTAACACTCAAAATAATCGCATTAGGTCATACAGTGTGTGAGAAGGCAAAGACTTTTGGCGTCGTGATTGACGGGTGCCTGAATTGCTCAGATCATATTGTCACCTTTGTTTCCCAGCGAGCCTTATAGGGAGATTAAGAGGTTTGTTTAGGTTCAGAGGCTTGTTGCCTGAGGCTGCAAAACTTCAGCTCGTGCAGTCACTAATACTTTCAGTATTTTACTACTGCTTCCCTGCATATGGCAACAGCATTTCTCGGGAAGACATGTATCGGTTGCAACGTCTGCAAAACTCCACAATCCGGTGCATTTTCTGTTTGATAAAATTTGATCATGTCTCTCTCTTTCAAGAAGTATCTAGTCTGCTTCCCGTTGAAGCCATGTGCAGGTTGTGACGTGCTGCATGACCCACCGAGTGTTGTCTCTTTGTGAGCCCGACTATTTACGCGAGAGGCTTTCTCTTCGCGATGAGGTTTCCCAGCGCAGGACACGTCATGGTAGAGGCTTCACCTCCCAAGAGTTTCTCTAGAACTTGGGAGGAAGAGCTTCTCATATTTTGGTCCCTCGTTGTACAATGGTCTACCTGACGGCCTGAAGGTTGTTGCATCTAGCAAAACAAAACATTTAAGGAAAAACTCAAAGATATATATATTTGTTTAAATTGTAATTATTGTCTAGGTTTATAACGGCCAAATTGTTAGGTTGAATTGTTATGTAAATTTGTTTTCAAATTGCTATGTGTATAAATAATTGATTGTTGAATAAGATATTTAGCGTAGTGACGAAAGTTGTTCTGAAAAGCTGGTGTACCAGAGAAACGCTTAATAAAGACATTTTTATTTATTTATACATCTATTTTTAAAAGAGCTTAACTGTTAACTAAAAACTCTGTTAATAGAATAAACATCTATCCATTCAGTCAAATATCATTGACGTCCTTTTTTATTTAAAGCACAAAAACACTTAGATTTTAGCAATCCCCATATACAACTTATAAAAAATATAAAACATTATCAATGCTTAAAATTTCCGCATTATGTATACAAACGTTCATTGAAATTAATTTAACACTGTATTTCTACCATATTTGTGACGCCATGTACTGTCTTTAACTTCCATCCAAAGGCCGTTTTCAATAAGACCGGACGGAAATGAATTACAAAAGGAAAGGAATACTCAATTCCGAAAGTTGTGCTGTTTGATTAGCGATAGACTACGAGTTCGTGTATTGTTGATTGTATCGTTTTAGCTACATTAGAAGGTGAGCTCATATAATTATAATAGTTAAAAAAAGTAGCTGTAAAAATAGTAAAAAGTTATTTTATGTAGTTAAGGCCTAGTTTACGCAGTTGTAGATACTCAATATAGCTCTAATGCTGGGGTAGTTTTCATTGGTTTCAGTAGCCTATCATTTGAACTAACAAAGCCGAGTAAACTCATAGGCTACAACTATCTAGTTTTGTAGGCCTACTGATAGTAACAATTTATATAGGCCTACGTAAGCTTAATTAAAATTTATTTTGGCTCAAAATTTTATCGTTTTATAAGTTAACTAAAATAATGCTGAGGTAATATTACAATTTGTGGCTTATCTAGAGCTAAGTTAAGTTAAGTTAGTATAGCCTAGTAGCCTAGGCTTGCGACGCTTAGCGGCACAAGTCTAATCCACTAGGGTTTTATTGGCGACGTGTTGCTATTGAACTTCCTAATCATGTATTTTGTGATTGAAATAGGGTAATAAATTTATCACAAACATAACTTAAATAATTTAATAAGTTTAAACTTATAAGTTTTGTTGGCAGAGCCAGCTCTAACGCGCGTTTTTTCACCATTGAGTAGCCTACCGGTAGCTTAGGCCTTGCAAAGTGCTGCGACACAATACGAGTAACACATACCTACCTACCAGTGTTTTGTTGCCGATTACATTAAATGTTTCTATTAAACTTTATATTTTATATTTAGTTACAGAATTAGAGGAATCAATCTAATAAAGAAGATAATGCGGTAAGTTTCGTGGAGGTAGGCCTACATTAGTAAACCGAAATGACATGCCTAAACAATAAATATACTGTACGCTATTGTAATAACCAGTAAAGCTAATTTATCTTATCAAATCAGGTAAATAATGGTCTTTTAAGTACTTATTATTTCATACAAGTAATGAACATAAGTAGTGTCGGTTCAATTTAATATACTACAACTACAATACAGTAATTGAAACATTAACATAATTTATCTTATGAAATTACTTACTTTGTAACTTAATGGATAATAGGTTAATTTAATTTTTAGAGTGTTACAAACTAGACCTGGATTAATTAAATAATATTTTAGTTTGTTCATGAATTTAGTTCCATC